ATATATATATATATATATATGTCTGTAGTCGTGACAGAATAGGTGACATTAAAAGACTGCAGCCAGAGATTTGGTTCAGTGGTTCCACTGCCTGCCTTGTAAGCGCAAGGACCTGAGTTTGATCCTAAGTACCAAAAAAATAAAAATAAAATAAAATGAATGGGCCGGGGATTTAGCTCAATGGTTCCGGCGCCTGCCTCACAAGCACAAGGACCTGAGTTCGATCCCCGGTACCAAAAAAAAAAAACAAACAAAAATAAAATGACTGCCAACCCCACGTGCTGTTAAATGTGGTGGCTGGCTCTTCCTGCGTCACTGGCAGTTGGGTCACAGCAGGGATCACACAGCGGCTAAGGGACTGTGTGTCCACACAGACCCAGAGCTGAGTGTTCACGGCCACTTCCCAACTGGAAACGACCCATTGCCCAGCAAGACAAAGGTGCCCTACAGGACAGAACTACGGTGTGTACAACAGGATGACCCACAGCTTCCACCAAGCAAAGGAAGTCTGAACTAGGAAGACTCCAGAACCATCTCTCTGAATTCCAGAAAAGCAACCTGCTGTGCAGGCAGAGTATCACTTAGTACAAGTCACAGCACACCCCAACAGAGTAGATCCTGGGCTTTCCTGATGGGTGTCTAAGTTAAGGGTGCTGGGCCTGTAGTGAAAAGCAAACTTAATGTAGTCACAGCAGGGACCAGGAGCAGGGAGGAGCAGAGGGCACAGGGAGCTCTGGGAGCCATGCGAACATCCCACAGCGTGACTGTCATGGCAGCTGCACAAGGGCCTACTTACCTGAGATTGGCGCATTATGTGCAAATTTTAACTCAATAACATTGGCTCCCCTAAATTAATTTCAACTGTTTTATGAACTATAAAACATCTCTTAGAGGATAATATATCTTCATGCACTTTGTATAAAGACTTCTTGAATAGCAACAACAATAAAATCAATAACCAAAAGACACAAAGGGTAAGATACAATGAAGAATAATGAAATTTAAAACTTCTGACATCAAGCCGGGCGTAGTGGCGCACACCTGTAACCCCAGCACTCAGGAGGCTGAGGCAGGAGGACTGTTGTGAGTTTGAGACCAGCCTGGGCTACATAGTGAGTTCCAGGTCAGTCTCAACTATATAATGAGACCCTTCTCAAAAAACAAAACAAAACAAAACAAAACAAAAACAAACAAAAAAACCCAAAAAACTTCTGACATCAAAAGACACTTTAAGAACATCAAAATGTAAGGCCCAGAGAAGAAATTTGCAACAGAGATAACCAACAAAGGGCTTGTATCCAGAATTTCTAAAGAATGACTTTCACAGCAGGCCAGGAGAGAGGACCACAAATCCAAACCTACCCTGGGCAACTTGGCAACCTGGAAAGACCTTGTATCAAAAAAATATATACAGGGCTGGAGATTTGGCCACTGCCTGCCTCACAAGCACAAAGACCTAAGTTCGATCCCCAATACAAAAAAAAAAAAAAAAAAAAAAAAGAATATATATATGTGTGTGTGTGTGTGTATAATATAAAATACACATATACATATATACGTACAGAGAACAAGAGCTAGAGACCACCAAAGAGTGTATACATTAGGAAAAGCTTGTATAAACATTTTAATACTAAATTTATTGAGACATTATGAGATTACTATGTTATCTTTGGCTCAAAGAATGAAGTGCTCAAAGTGGTGGCCATCAGCTTCCAGACATTAGTATGATGAACTACTGAAGTGTGTGTGTGTGTGTGTGTGTGTGTGTGTGTGTGTGTGTGTTTGATGGCCTCTCTCCCTGCCCCCTCTCCATATATGGATATATAAAATACTATGTGTAATATATACATATGTACTATATGTACTATAAATATATATATGGAATGTAGCTTGATACAAAGGCCCTGGATTCAATACCCAGTTAAAAATACAAACACAAAAGAAAAACAAGCAAAAGACTTGAACAGGCACTTCACACAAGAAAGAGATCTAAGCAGCCTACACCACACAGCAAGGCGCTCCATACCCACTGAAGAGAAACACTCAGCCCCCAGAACCACCTGCCAGCCCAGGCTGAAGAGACCAATGAGAAGAGCCCAGGAAGGTGGGAAGCAACAGAACCACACTGCTGGTGGGAAAAGGCACTGGAACCACTCCCAGAAGAGTGCATGGACAGCATGTCTCCAGCAGGAATGTGTACACACATGGGCGCTGAAGACAGTCCACACTCTTCCCAGTAGCATTAGTCCTAGGTCTAGAACATGGACACCA